CTGCGCGCCCTGCGGTGCCCCTGGGGGGGCACCCCTCGAAGCCCCCTGCCGCCGTGCATCGGGGGGGGGGACCGGCACCTCGCACCCTCCCCGCTGGGGGAGCGATAGGCAGAGACTGTGATGGTGGCACGGCTGCGGTCGCCTCTCTCGCGGTAGGTACTTGATGGACCGCCGTGCTGCCGTCACCGCCGTGTGAAGGTTTTGGGTGGAGGTGCGGGCAAGTGGATTTTCTGCAAGGCGCTGATCGAAGGGGTGTAGTCGCCGGCTAAGGTGAGAGTGAAGGGCAGCATCTCAGCAGGGGATGGTCTCTCTGTCGGTGGACATGCCTCCACATCACTAGAAATATCAGGCAGGTCAGCTCTCACGGCCTGAGGCCGAGAGGATTGGGAAGCAACAGTCTTGGTGCGTTGAGAGAGGTGAACTCCTGCCTTGCTTTGTTATCAGGGGGCTTTTGTTTCTGTTGTTTGGGTTTTCTGGTAGCGTCTCCTTTGGGTGGGGACGGCACTGAAAGCAGCTTACAAACCAGGCAGCTTCTTTCTGGGTTGCTGATTCAATTTCAAGCCGGGTTAATAATAATCAAAATAAGAATGAAGGGAGTTGTTGTCTTGTGGCTTTTCAGTGCCTTTTATGAGCGGAGGTAACTCTTAATTCAGTTCCTAATAGGCCATTCTGAGTGTCTGGGATTCCTCTGGAGGGAGGTGAGCGAGTGACTGGGCCTGGGAGGCCGCACTCTGCGCTCCCTTGGAGAAGGGGCGGCATATTGCAAGGTGGTGTGTGGTGGTTAGCCTAACTTGTTTACAGGCGGGAGCTGGTGTCCTTCCCCCCCTCCCTGCCCTGTCTTCATTGCTTAATCTTAGCATAGTTAATAGCAAAATATGAGATCTTTAGCGTTAAAAAAGCAATGCACTTACCAACACAAATTTCTCTTTCTTGTATCTGAATGGGGTAAACTGATCTCTGAATCCATCCCAGTGTTTTAAACAACTGTGTGGTTATTTCTTTTAATGGCGGTTGAGTTGGGGATTTGGACTGTGTGTTGGGTACCTTCATCTCTGAGATTACTGTAACCTGAAAATCTTGTTTTGTTTTTCCAGTTGCAATTTCTGAGCAGTTTTGTCCGGAAGACTGTGCTCAGGTTATGACGACTAATCCCAAACCGAACAAGGCATTAAAGGTAGGGAAGAAAGCTGAGTGGGCGATGCTGGGTGGCAGGGGAGGCTGTCGCAGAACCATGCTCTGTGCGACGTCGGTCGTACATGACTGTTCTTTTTCATTTTGAGAAACTCTTACAAATGGGTGCCTATACAGTTTCCCACTATCTACAGGAAAGGTTAGGGTAGAAGAATACCGGCGATACCCAGAAAGAAGTCTAAAGTCTCTGGGACGGCATGGAGGCTAGAGTATCCCAGTTGCTATCCAAGAGACTTTTGACTATAGCAGGTAGGGGCAGCATTCTGAAACCAGTGCTCCCAGGCCTGTCAATGAAGTACTTCTACTCTCAGGACTGGGAGGCACTGGGGAAGGGACATGTTCAGCTGGTGTCTCTCAGATCTGCGAGACAGTAAATGTCTCGGACAAACCGGCTTGGCGGTGTTCTGCGCATGGGTTGTGCATGCATTGTTGCAGTTCCTTCCCAGTGTCTTAGCTCTTCATTCCAGATGTCCTGCAGTCTCTGAAGAGACAAAAGGATGATGTCTTAAAGGTTCTGGACTCGATGATCTTAAAGGTCTTTTCCAACCTAAATGATTCTGTGATTCTGAAAATAACTGTGGCAGCAAACCTGCTTGAGAAAAAGGCACAAGGCCTTGGTGTCTTTCTCATGTAACTTCGGAGTCTGGCCTGTGCACCAGGGAAACCAAATGAGGCTGTGGTCCTTGAAGCCAAGCAGGGTTGGTTTTGTTCACTACTTGGATGAGCAGTCTTCAACGAAAAGCCACAGAATGCTGAATTAAACCCTGCGTACAAGTGGCTATTCTGCTTTTGAGATGTTGCACTGGTGTCCCAGCGTAATGCTGGGAAAAGGTGTCATCTTTAGCATTCAGTATGAATTCTGGGTCCTGACAAAGGAACACAAAGGGCTTCAGTCTGCTTTACATTTATCTCCTTAAAAATCTTGCTGTTCAGTTCATACTGGGTATGTAAGGCTCACTGCTTTCTCTGACTTAAGAGGGTTACCCAAACCCAGACAACAGCAGTGCTCAGATCTCTGCTGTTTTACCCAGATGTTTTAGTGGAGCATGTGCTCTCTACAGTGCTTCGGGGGTGTTTTCCAGGTAGGGGTATCACGTTGCTGAGGGGTGGCCTGTCTCTTTTTTGCTGTCCAGAACAGCCGTTCACATAAGGGTTGCTGCTACCCTGTGCTGTTGGTATTTGCAGGTAAAGGAGGAGTCAGGAGAGAATGCCCCAGTGCTGAGTGATGATGAACTTGTGTCAATGTCCGTACGGGAGCTGAACCAGCACCTGAGGGGTCTCACCAAAGAGGAGGTCATCCGTCTGAAGCAGCGGAGGCGCACGCTGAAGAACCGGGGCTACGCTGCCAGCTGCCGCATCAAGCGTGTGACTCAGAAAGAGGAGCTGGAGAGGCAGCGGGTTGAGCTGCAGCAAGAGGTGGAGAAGCTGGCCAGAGAAAACAGCAGCATGAAGCTAGAGCTGGACGCCTTGCGCTCCAAGTACGAAGCACTCCAGACCTTTGCTCGTACTGTGGCGCGAGGGCCTATTACCCCGACCAAAGTTGCCACCACCAGTGTCATCACCATTGTGAAATCAGCCGAAATCTCATCCAGTTCTGTGCCGTTTTCAGCAGCATCCTAGTGCCCTCAGTGGGGGCAACTAGCAGCCTTTCAGAGGGGAGGGGAAAAGGCTCTTATGCATTGTTCCGGAGTCCTTGGTCACGTCAAGAATTGGCATTTTAACAATTCTCTTCCAAAAGTGCAAAAAGTAAAGGAAAAAAAAAAACGAAAAAAAAAAAACCCAATCCTACAAAGGGAACTTAACTGGCTGCTTCTATCTGGACTCGGTGGCTCCATCAACCTCTCGTGTCCAGGATTTGAGCTCTGTATGCAGTACAAGTTGCAAGATCTGCTTCCTCCTTTCCCCCTGCCTCCCCAAACCCTTCTCAGCTGTGGGCAGCTTTCCAGCTGGGAGAAGATATCTGAGGGGTCTCCGGAGTCTTCGTTGAATGATGCTCAAGAGCCAGGAAACAGGTGGACCATAGAAATCATCATGTGAGATGAATGTATGGAAAAAAGAGTTTCCTTTAGTGGCATCCTACTCCCTGTAAGAAGGGTCTCCCCTACCTTCCCCACTTCCATCTGATGTTATGAGGGCAGGGATACAGGCTTTTTGGATTAGATTTCATCCTGCTATGAGTGGATGGGAGTGGGAGGATGATGGAGACTAATGCTTGGGTCTGACCACACCCATTAGAAATAACCTTTTGTTTTCAATCCATGCTGTTAAAATTTGGAAAAATATGTATTTTACATATTTTAATATGCCCCATTACCTGTGTGGCCTATAAAAACTACATTGCAGCCTCCTTTATTCCAAGCCCAAGCTTCCCGATAGCTCCTTCCCTAAGGTGTGTCTGTGAATTGGGTATATTTATGCAGTTTATTTCTTCCAAATGATCCGCAGTCTTGAAGTAGCAGCTTTTTTTTTTCTGGATTCCCTGAAGCTTAAGGGAAGGAAGCACAGTAAATGCTGTGAAGAGCTGTGTGATGGGGAGGAGAAGGGGAGGCGAGGAAGAAAAATGCTGCGAGTATTACCAGGTGGAGGCAGAACTGGCTGCGAGAAGGTGGGACAGTTCTGCTGGGATCAGCACTATGAGAAGGGGTTTGTGCAGAGTATTTCAGAAAGACGTTTTTAAAGCACTGAAGTGTAACTAGAAGGCAGTAGTGTTCAGACGGGAGGAGAGAAGTTATAGAGCCTCCTCTTTGACAGAAGCATTGGTAGGTTAGCAATGAACATCCCAGCCGGAGAGCTGGGCTCACAAGTCTTTGACCAGAGAAGGGCTTATGGGGAGGTCAGATGGGAGCTGGAAGAGTCTTTTCCTCTCCATAGCATGTCAGGCACTGAAGTTGGGATCCAAAGAGTACAGTGAACAACCCTCAGTGTTCAGACAACCTGTGTGAATGTGACCCTGAAACTTGACGCTTTCTCTTGGGAACGGGTGAATTATCCTGAGACACACATGGAGGGCAGGGTGGAATATCGGTGTGTGTGTAGGAGACGGAAGAGTTGGGATCGAGAAGTCGTTCGTATGGCTTTGAGCAGTGGTTTGGGAGAGGGATTTCTGGCTCAGCAATGGGCAGGAGGTGGGAAGCCAAAAGGAGAGATTCTGCTGTTGCGCAGCAGTGCTGAAAAGATGAATGTTTCCAGGTCACTGTATACAAAAAAAAAAAAAAAAAATAGCTACGTTGGTGTTTGTGTGTTTTGTTGTTGTTGTTTTTTCTTTTTGAAGTAGGAAAGAAAAGGGACTGTGAGTTTTGCAGGGCAGGTCAGAGACTTGTGGAATGGACGATGCCTGTTGTCATGCAGGTGAGAAGAGAATGAGATTGCTGAAGTTTAAGATGAGGAGAAGAGCTTAGAGGATTTGGGCTCCAGAATGGAAAACAAAGATCACAGAGAAGTCACGAGTGTTTTGGACTGAAAGAGAATAATCAAGTGCTACCGTTGTTGCAAAGGGGGCAGTGAACTGGCATCTGACACACAGTATAATTTGTTGTTTGAGGCTTTGTCTTGCCTTGAATGGCAGTAAGTTTGTAGAAATTTAGTGAAGCCCTACTTGTCTTTGGAAGAAGTTGTTAGCTTGCTTTTTCTTTCTTTTTTTTTTTTTTTCACCTTGTCATCGGAGTCTCTGGATATCCCAGGAGGGTCCTTTGTGAAATAGGTTAATGAAAAGAGAAACCTCAGACTTGGTTCTCATTCAGTCCTCAACATCGACATCCGTGACCTTACTGAGCCAGAAAGGGTGTAAGTGAAATGCTTCCTGAAGGCTCGTTACCCCTGCCAGATCCACGTGTTATGGAGGGGAGCAGGGAGTTTCCTTCAAGTGATTTTCCAACACGTAGAGTTTGGATGACACTTAGCGTTACCTCATTTCTCCTCCACTCCCTCCCTATCTCCAAACAGGCAGATCGATGTCCTGTGTATCAGTACCAGTTATTGACTCCCACAGCAGAAGCTGAGGAAGAGAAAGATGTTACTGTCATTTCCTGGTCCTCTCATGTTCTCCAGCTCACAGACATTGGAAACTTTCCCAGACCTTACAGGTGCCTCCAAAAACAGGCAAAATGGAGACTCCTGGCACTGTTGGGGCTTTAAATGAAAACTTTAATGAAAAAGGCCAGTTGACTTGAAAATGCCCAAATGCTTCCAGTCTTTAAAACAGCTCCAGAGCTCCATAACATTCCTGGCTAGATAGGAACACCCTCTGGCTGCCCTTGACCCCACCACTGGGGAGATCAGACCAGTTGCACCGAGGGGGACGGAGGTCAAACTTTGTTCCGTGGGGTCTTCTTGCTGTTGGAATGAGTTGAGAAACATATCTTTATGTGGCACTTCCCTTGTGGCCAAGTATTCCTTTTTTTCCAGTTCTTGGAAGGGTGCCAAAGGCTTGTCCAAGTGATTGCTAGTTTAGTGCTGGTAGGCACTTAAATCTCTGGTCACTCGATAAAGAACAAGAGGCCTGGGTGTTGTTAAAGCTGTTGATACCATAGCCATGGTAGGTAATCCATATTGGATATCCATAAGGACCACGTGGAAATATTTAAAGAGAGAGAAATATATATATAAATATATAATTATATACATTTTATCGTACAGATTTTTCGTAAAAAAAAAAAAAAATAATTTTTTTTCCAAGTTTGATACTGTAAATCTTTATTAAAAGAAATTGCCAGTCCAGGGCTCCCTGGGTGGTGACCTGGAGGGGAATGAAATGTCCTGGCTAAACTTCCACAGAGGGTTCAGAATTGCAAGGTAATGTGGAGGGAGGAATGACCCGAAAGCTGTTGACCGCGTTGGAGACCCAGCTCCTCCACCCTCCGCCCTGGAGGGCCCTCCAGCTTGGGGTTGTCGCATTGCATTCCTCTGGGGTTTGGTTTGTTTCTGTTGTTGTGTTGTTTTGTTTTGTTTTTCTCTCCGTCCTGCACTTGCAAGCCTGACACCCAGGGCAAGCTGTGTGTGGGGAGCTGGCTGCTGCCTGCAGAGTTGCCCAGGCAGCTCAGCAGCGCTCCCCTGCAGCTGTACCTCTTGCTTGTCTCTTTGCAGTAGTTTGGATGCCGGGGCTCCCTTCTCTGCCCCTCTTAATTTGTCCCCCCCGGCCCCACTGAGGAGCAGGGGCTCTGGATTTGAGTGCTGGGATCCTCTCCCCTGGGCCTGGCCTTTCTTTGGTTGCTCCCCATCCGCAGTGTGACGTGGGAACCGCGGGCTGGGTGGGAGGCAGGAGAAGACGAAAGCGTTGGGCAGGGACCGGGAGGGACATCTCTGTTCTTGTAGATGTGTTTGCTGTGCTCTCTATTGGGAGTGGGGAACCTTTCCCTCCAGGGCAGCTCCAGATCCCTTTGAAGCAAGTCAGCGTCTCTGCTCTTGCCCAACTCTACCGTCTGCCAGAGGAGACCGCAAAGCGCAAGCTTAGAGACCTGGGTGACACCGCAGCTCTGGGGACGGCCGGGGAGGGGACGAGGTGCTGGCGGGTGAGGCGGTGCGGAGGTGAGCTGTGGCAGGGCTGGGCGTGATGCCACGGGAGTGCGAAGCGGTCAGGCCACTGGACGGCTCAGACCCGGGGAGGAGGAGAAGGTGGCATTTTTTTTCTCTCTCGAATCATTTAAACTTCATTGTCATGATTGTTTTTATTTAAAAAAAAAAAACAAAACAAAAACGAAAAACTTTTGTAAAGTGGATTTGTTTTCCTTCGTCTGTATTTCAGTCTGCTGGGGTGTTTCCGTAGATGGTGGATACTTGCTTTCATTTTTTTAATGATAGAAGTCTTCTGTTTTAAGTTGTTTTTTATCACAAGCTCATTCTATCCTCTGTGGTTACTCAGTAATTTCATTTCAATATTTATTTTTGTGCTGCTTTTTTATTATAAAATAAATTATTGATATACCAAGCAATGTGGATTCCTGTTTGTAAGGCGGATAGCCCTGTGTATGTGTCCATTACTTTCTCTTGACAGCCACAACGTAATTTATTGCTGTAAATTTAGCTGCAGTGACTGGTTTTTTTGTACCTTTCCAATAAAGCATTTTCTGGTTTCAGACTTGCCCTGGTCTATGGTCAGCATTTTGGAGCTTGCATTGATCTTCAGTGGAGTGTTTTCCTCGGGGTTTTTTGCCTGCTCGTCCCTGGTGCAGCATACAGCTGACTGTCGGCTGCGGCGCTGCTGGTGAGCGATGTGTTTTTAGAAGGCAGGCTGGGCTAAGGCGAGCGTGACGGCTGCTCGGGCTTTTGCAAGCATCTGACCCAGCCTGGTGTAGCCAGCTCGCCCATCTCCCAGCCTTGCTGTGGTGCTTCCTTGGTGTATTTGGAACATGCTCAAGGGATCCCTCTTGTCCAAGCTGCTTGTCAGGTAGATCCCATGCTCAGACCAGTTTATCTGTTCTAACCCAGGCTGCACCTTTGTGCATAATCAGTGGGTACTTCTGGTAGCACAAGCGAGGACCGATAGCGCAGCAGGCACCTGCCTGCAGTCGTGATGCTGAGGGCTGGCTGCGCAAGGCCCCTCTTGGCTTGGAGACCCTGTGCTGTGAGACAGGTTGCAGTGCTGGAGAGAGATGCTCTCCTCTCCTTTGGGTTGTGAAATATCCCTTCGCTGCTTTCCTATGCGACTGCTTGTGAATAAACTGCTTTAACCCCTTACATCAATATTTCATCTTTTTGTTTTTCCCTGTTTGGGCTTTAAAGAGGTGGTAGGTACGTTGTGCCAGTAAGCTCCTAGGGGCCACGTTAGCTTTAATCCCCTGTTCCAAGTGGTAGATTTTCTTTAGGGGACAGCTGAAGGAGGAAAATGCTTGGCCTGTGCCTGCTTGAGGCAATAGGTTGGAGGCAGACGGGTGCGTTGGCCAAAGTTGGAATTAGAGGTAGGGCAAAGTGGAGAGAAGCAGGGCTGAAAGGCTTTGTGTGTCAGCAGGTAATGGATGGTCATTACATGCCAGAGGTGGGGCCAGGCAGGCTTGGCTGAGCAGGAACATGGGTGAAGCCTGGGGGGCGATTGCAGTTGCTGTGCTGAGCAAGAAAGTCATCATCAGCTGCTTCAGCTCCTGCCTGGAGAGACGGCAGCGAGGAGCTGGTGACGATGGAGGGGAGAAGAGAGGGAGGTGGGCCACTTGTGTCTATCAGAGGGATGGAGTTAGGAGGAAAAGGGCACCAGGAATAGGCCAGGTGGAGGT